AGGGACAAGCCTGGAAGACCCCTCAGCGCCAGACCTGCTGGAGTGAGAGTCAGAGAGCTGCCCATGAGCAGCTGCCTAGATCCCTCTTCCCCGGAGACCTTGATTTGAAGGTCGCAGTCCCCACCTCCTCTCCAGCCTTCACCTCTAGTTCCCTTCTCTCTCCACCACGTGGCTGATCTGGCCCCCAAAGCCAACAAACCTGGCCCCCTCAGGCCCTGCACCCTCTTGCCCCGCTTCCCTCCTCCACACTGCCCTGAGGTCTCTCTTCCAGGCTCCACTCTCTCTGGCTGACCTTTGTGGCCGAGTCCTCCCCTCCCCCAGGCCACCTCAGATTCCATGGTTTTGACCCCCTGGCCATCTGCCGTCTGGTGGGTGCTCCCATGCCTTCCCTGGCTTGTTTTTGTTTGTTTTTGAGATGGTCTCAAACTCCTGACCTCAAGTGATCCACCCACCTCAGCCTCCCAAAGTGCTGGAATTACAGGCGTGAGCCACCGCCCCCGGCCTGCCTGCCTTTTTTGAAGGAGGCTTTCCCATTCAGGCTCTGGTGTTCGCCGGGTCCAGGCCACCTGCTCTCCCTCTTTCCTGAATTCCTGATCATCTCTGGTCTCCCAGATTCCTCGTGAGCTTTGGAAGGCCACAGTTCACACGGTGGAAACGGGCTCCACAAGACTGGCAGGCATCCCCAGCCCTTCCCCCTGGTCAGTCAGCCCCTTACCCATCTGTGGGCCCCACTTCCAGAAACCCCTGCCTTCCCTGCATGGCCACCACACTGCATTCCCCTCTACGGCTGCACCCGCTGCTTCCTGCTGGCACAGTCCTTCCTGTGTCTGCCACACCTGCGGCTGACGCTTGGATAGGCAGGACCCATCTTGGTCTTCTGTGTCCCTAGCACCAGGCCACACACTCAGCAAAACAAAAGGATGAGGATGTGTCTGTGGGAGAGATGTTAACTCCTCCCCATGCAGGGCCTTCTCCAGATATCCTGTTTTTTTGTTGTTGTTGTTTTGTTTTTAGACAGGGTCTTGGTCGATCTCAGCTCATTGCAGCTTCGACCTTCTGGGTTGAAGCGGTCCTCCACCTCACCCTCCCAAGTAGGTGGGACCACAGGCACACCACACCCAGCTAAGTTTTTGTTGCATAGGCTTGTCTCGAACTCCTGGACTCAAGTCATCCTCCTGCCTTGGCCTCCCAAAGTGCTGGGATTACAGATGTGCACCACTGTGCCAGCCTCCGTCACTCTCCCTGTATTTGCCTTCACTCTAGTTATGCACAGAATTCCTGGAGTGTAGTCTTTTGCATCTCTTCAAGCCTCTTAAATTGCCCCACACGTAGTAATTTTCAGTAAACAGATCTGCATTCACACTGTCCTACAAGTAATCCCAGCACTTTGGGAGCCTGAGGTGGAAGGATCACTTGAGCCCCGGAGGCCAAGGCTGCAGGGAGCTATGACCACACCACTGCATTCCAGCCTGGGCGACAGAGTGAGACCCTATCTCAAAACAAGCAAATGAAAAACCTTTTAGTGTATGTGCTGCCGAAGCAAGCACATGAAAAACTTTCAACAACAAATGTAAAGTAAACCTGCACTGCCTCAGTGGACTCACCTGGAACAGACCCCTCAGCGCTGGGTGAGTGCACAGCTCAGGGAACATCTGGGTATAGTTAATAGTATAGACTTGGGGGGGGGGGTTTTGCCAAAAGAGTGATGAAATTTAAAAGTGAAACCTTCTGTCCTGAAACCTTCATCTCCCTTTTCTTTTTCAAGGAGCATGCGTTTGAGAGCAGTCAGAAATATAAGGAAGGAAAATTCATCATTGAGCTTGCTCACATGATCAAAGACAATGGCTGGGAGTAAAGTGCGAACTTTCCCTTCTCCTTCGAATGCTGTTTTGTGAAAGAAACTGAATGTAATGGAAACGTAGGAGCAGCCGGTGGCAGCCTTTCTTGCCCTGTGACCTCAAAGGCTAGCTGCGCATAGCTCTTGACACTCTCGGCCATCTCTGTGGGTAAGGTGTCCCCTCAGATCTGTCCTCTTCATGTACATGGTTGTTTCTGAAAATCTTCAGTGAGCTTTTTCTAACTTCTCAAGTTCTAGAGAAAGAATTAACCAACTGATGACTTACCCGCCTAGTTAATACCTTCCTTTCACCTTTGTCTTCAATATAGTTGGGCTCTGCTTTTTGAAGGTTCAGTTGAAAACCAAACTGAGGCCGGGCGTGGTGGCTCACGCCTGTAATCCCAGTACTTTGGGAGGCCGAGGCGGGTGGATCACCTGAGGTCAGGGGTTCCAGACCAGCCTGGCCAACATGGTGAAACCCCGTCTCTACTAAAAATACAAAAATTAGCCGGGCATGGTGGTGGCTGCCTGTAATCTTAGCTACTCAGGAGGCTGAGGCAGGAGAATCACTTGAACCTGGGAGGCGGAGGTTGCAGTGAGCTAAGATGGCACCATCGCACTCCAGCCTGGGGCACAAGAGCGAGACTCCGTCTCAAAAAAAAAAAAAAAATTAGCTGGGTATGGTGGCGCATGCCTGTAGTCCCAGCTACTCGGGAGGCTGATGCAGGAGAATCACTTGAACCCAGGAGGCGGAGGTTGCAGTGAGCCGAGATCGTGCCACTGCACTCCAGCCTGGTGACAGAGCAGGACTCCGTCTCAAAAAAAGAACCATACTAAGTCTCTGAAGACCATAGGGACAGGGTCTCTTTAGATAGCAAGTCTCGCCATTCCCCTTTTTAGAGAAAAGGTATTGTAGCCCATCTTCCACCCCACTCTTTTTCTTAAAATTCGCAAAACTTCAAATTGGCTATTCCCCTTTCAAATGAACCACTGAAGTACAGCGTTCATTTAAGAATCTTACAGAGGCAGTCAACAGACTTATACACTAAGGGTATTTTTGGTTTTTAGCCTGTTCAGAAACAGAGGCCAGCAGTGATGACATTTTAGATACACTCTAAATTGAGAAATGTGTCTCGTGGAACATGTTGTTTATTTAAGCCAGTAGATTCCTTATCTAGAAAGCAGGTGAGCTGGCCCTTAGAGAAGGCTGTCCCAGGGGCCTGCAGAGGTACCGTTACTGAGGCAACAGCCTCACGGGGTCTGGTACCAGGGGTTGTGCCCTCAGCGGTGACAGCAGCTTAGGTGTCAGGCAGTTGCTGAGGGGCTGGTCCATGTCGTTATAGCGTAACACACTGGACCGAGTAAAAGTCGGATCTCATTTTCTACCCTGGATGTACTTGAAGAAAAAGAATTATTTTTGCATATGAAAGAGGCCAGAACCCACAGGAAAAACTTCAAAACTTGACGTTTGCCAGAATGTTGAAAATTTGTTCAGAAAAGGTTAAAGCAACAAGACAGGTTTAGCCTTTGTGCATGAAGGCGCCTGGCCTGCTAGCCGCATTGCCCGTCCCTGCGTGGTGCTGTCCCATGTCACTTGAACTGATAGAGGGGCCTGTGCAATCTCCTAAGGCCTGTGTTTCTGCCACATATTTTATTATAAATTACAATCCACCCATCCACCTGCCCTCCACCAGGAGTGGGCACCCCATAAGGGTTTAGGCCACTTTGCAGAGGATGGAGGTCAAAAACCATTCCCAGATAAGTTTGGTTTTCAACATTTAGTAACTTGTCTCAGGGCACAGAGGGCAGGCAGGAGACTGGGGGAGGCCAAGGGGCAGCAGATAGGAGAGCACTGAGCCTGGATAGTTCTCTGCCTGGCGAGTGACTCTGAAGCTGCCTTCAGACAAGGCTAGTCTAGGGGCAAGAGTGCGAGCTGGCAGTAAGAACGTGGCCACCTGTCCAGCTTCACACCTCCCCTGACTTAAGCCCTTCCTCAACCCAGACCTACGGTCCATGCAGGCACTGGGCTGTGCCCACTCAAGCTCACTGCCCACGTAGAGCATGCCTTTGGATGCCATCTCTTGGCCCAAGCCTCAGTATGTGGGACATGCCGCTGCCCTGGTGGGCATGGCACTGAGATGCATCAACTCAGCAGGAGTGACAGAGGCAGAAGTTCCTTTAAAGCACATCTTCCACTTAGGAAAGGAAGGAAATTTTTGTACCGTCTTGTAAGCCTCCACATCCAGCTATGGCCCTGCAAGCTGCCTTATGCCTGCGCTAGTCTCCCTCACGGGTTCAGGCTGGCCCAGCACATCCCGCCCTCCTGAGCTCACGTGCGGCCATCTAGAGCACAGGGGTCACTGCACGCTGCAGGGCTCTTGCTGCCCTGTCTCAAGCCTGGAGAGGCTCCGCCCACAAGCTGGCACATGAAGTTAGCAACACCTGTGGCTTCAGTCAATTGTCTGAGACTCTGAAGAGGCTGAGACACCTTCCCGACTGGAAGAAGTTGTTCACTGAAAACTTAAACTGACCCTTCCCTTCGAGTCTTCATTCCTCTCCCATGTGGGAACCCAGCCTTGGATGCCCTGGGGACTAGGGGAAACAGTTGGGGGTTTGTGCCGTCCCCAGCCTGCTATGGGTGTGAGGACAGCCAGGTCCTGAGTGACTCAAGATGCTTCACTTACATTGAAGAATCTTCTAAAACTCTTCCGAGTGGTTTTTGTACACACTCAAGTTCTATTTAGAGCTGTTCTGCGTGTTGGGTGAGTTCGCTGCTCCCTCGTTTTCGGCACTTTGGTTTTTGTCTTTACTGACGGCATCGATTGAACATTTTTTACTAGTAGTCTTATGAATTTTCTTATGACTTATTTTGTATTTTTTTTTTTTTGTAACTTATACCAACAAAACTTTTATCACTTTTTTGTTGTTGTTGTTGGGCTTCTGCAAAATGCAAGCTCATTTTTAAACCAAATGAATAGACCATGAGCTGGCAACAGGGGAAGTGCTATTCACAAGACCATGTCCACCACCCTCTAAAATTCCTGAACAATATCATCTGGGACTTCTATTTATTTAAAACAAATCTTCCTTGAGAGCCTTGGGAGGTGATGTCAGGGTTATAAATGGCACAGTGCATTTGCTGTAGGAATGTGGTTTGGCATTGTTTTATACACACACAGTATTTTTATACCTTAATGCTTATTCTTGATGGCATCTGTCAGATATTAGAATCAGAAATAAGAATCTTCCCAAAATCCTTTTACCTGATGCCCTCATCAGGTTATTAAAAATTCAAGTGGTTTTAATAGCTAAAAACCTGCAAATTAAGCTCTAAAACAAACTACAGAAATGTAAACCTTCACTTGCCAAAGGTCCTTGGTGGCCTGTCCCCTGCCCCAGGGGCAGATGGCCCTGAAGCCCTTCCCTCACTGTGCAGGCCACTGGGTGAGGCTGGACGGTCACCCACGGCGGCTTCACTGCAAGGAGCAGGACTGCCAAGCTCAAGCACGGGGCCTTCAACTTCCCCTGTCCTCTGGCCACACTGCCAGCCCTTGGTCCTTATCTGTGTGAGGTTTACAAATAAAGCTTCTGATGTCAGATGTTTAAGTTGTGCGCTCAGTGGACGAGGCCATGTCCTGATGCAGAAGGCTGAGCCCAGGCTCTCTGTGGCACCCCTGAGAGCAGAGGGCAGTCTTAGGTTCTTCCAGCTCTGGAGCCAAGGGCGGCCTGGTCCCACTTCTCTGCCCCCACCATTGGGGGGATTTGAATGTAGCCAGAGAATACAGTCAGGGCCAGCCAGGGTGGCCACAGGGTCCTCTCCAAACCTGCTTCTCCCTCCCTGGTCAGGCCTCCACCCCCCACCACCCACACCTGTACCCTGGATGCTGGCTCAGAGACCTACGGGTGTGTAGACACCTGTGCAGTCACTGTGTCCTACTGTGCAGGCCCAGCTTGGTGTCTGAGCCTCTTACAAGTGAGTTACTGCCAGGGCTAGACCAGACCTCGCTGAGGACAGTGCCTGGCGGGAGGCATTGAGGGCGTCAAAAGTCACTCCAGGGGCCTGGTCAACAGTCACAGACGGGTGACAGGCTGCAGAGGGATGGGCTGGAGAAGAGGCGGAGCCAGCCATGGTGCAGTTCTTGTTCTTAGCATGATGAAGGGCCAGACGCTGGTGTGCAGCAGGGTGATAAGGGGCAGACGTGTCTCTAGCGGTCATCAGGCAGCCTGTGGCAGTGGACAGGGTGAGGCAGGGATGCAGATGAGGCGCCACCCAGCATCCAGGGAGACAAAGGGCTCGGGCCTGCGGCTTCAGCATCAGTGATGAGAAAAGGAAGGGCAGAGGTACAGCCTGGAACGTACTGACAGGTTCAAGATTTGGGGCAACAAAAATGAGACAACCAAGAATAAGGCCTAAGAAGTTAGGGCTTAGTGTGAAGAACTAGAAGTGGGGGGCCTGAGGGCAACAGGGAGCCCAAGAGGCGAAGGAGGGAAGAAGGGTCCATGACATGAGAACACTGACCACTGGCCTGGGCTGAAAACAGAAGAAAAAGCGAGCCAGGGACACATTTAACAAAAAAATGGGGTCGAGGGAGGGTCTTGACGTTAGGAGATGCTGATGCAGCCGGCCAAAGGCCATCAGTCAGTGACAGGAGGAGCAGAGTCGGAGCCCAATGGCCGGGCCTGAAAGCAGCAAGGCCACCTTCTCAGCAGAAGGGTGGGGAGAGGGACTGCTTGTTCTCCTCACAGCCAGAGACACTGGCCTCAACCAGGTGTGGGTCCCCTCAAGATTCTGATAGGGGCAGAGAGAAGCCACGCAGGCTTGAGATGAAGCCCGTGGCCAGAGCAGGCACGTGGGGCCCCGAGAGCCCAGGCAGGGTACGGCAGGAAAGTCAATGCTGCAGTCCAGCACCGGCCATCAGAAGCCCCTGAAGCCCACCTGCAGAGGCTCAGGCTCAGTAGGTCTGGGGTCTGAAAACTTGTCCCAGGTGATGGCGTTGGTCAGGGGACCACACTGGTTGTATAAATAGGCTGTCCCTGAGAAGGTAACAGAGGAAGGCGTAAGAAAATCAGACTTATACAGCTGGGTGTGGTGGTGAACGCCTGTAGTCCCAGCTACTTGGGAGGCTAAGGCAGGAGGATTGCTTGAGCCCAGGAGGCTGAGGCTGCAGTAAGCCATGATCACACCACTGCACTGGAGCCTGGGCAACAGAGCAAGACCCTGTCTTAAAAAGGAAACCAGAATGTGGAGACACAGTCCTTCCTCACTAACCTGGCCTACTGGAGACCTGGGGCGCCAGCCTGGGTAAGGCAGACCTTATGCTCTGAGGTCCCAGCAGTGGGCTCTGGCCGGGCCAGGTCCTAGAAACAGGGCCAAGGCCCTTGGCAACAGGTTAAGGGGTGGGGAGGCTGTGGGTTCCCAGGGGCCAGGAAAAGGGATGCAGGCAGCAGGTAAGCCATTTATTGGATGGCAGCAGAGGACAGGCTAGGAAGACTGGAAATGGAGATGTGGACACAGGCCCCCAGCCCTGCAACCCCACCAAGGTCCACAGTGGCCAACCTGCTGCTACCAGGAGCTGAAGTCCCCAAAACCCCGACTGGGTTTCTTCTTGGACATGGGGACAGTGGCGCTGGTTGAGGGCTCTTCCTCTGCCGCTCGCTTCCTGGGAAGAGAAGAAGCCGCTGGGAGTCCACGCCCTCCCTCGGCCCCTCCTGACTTGTCTATCTCCATACGGCCCTCCCGGTATAGGACCAACCCCTCCCACCTGCTGCTCCCACGTCCCCCTGAATTCGATGGCTTCCACCCACAGAGGCCCCGGCCAGGCCTTCAGAGGTAGTCCCTCGGCTGCAGAGGCCACACAGCACAAGCCCATGCCCAGGACCAGTGCCCGTGGCTTTCTTGCCCCTCTGGATCTGACCCTCAGACCTCAGTCAGCCCTAGGAAACACCATGGGAAACAGGCCAACCGCGCGGCACTCACGTGGCTGCTGGGTTGATGTACTTGCCCACGCCCTGGCGGAAGGTCTGGGGGCCCTGGCTCCCTGCCTCGGGCTGGCTGCTCTTCACTTTGGTCTCCGGGGCTGCCTCGAGCTGTGTCTTCCGCTCCTGGGCGATCTGTGGCACAAGAGGGTGGAGGCTGACCAGCAGCACCTCGGGCAGGACAGATGCTAGGCTTGGGGTGGGAAGGTGCGCTGGCCCAGACCCTCCTGGTGGTGGCATCGTGCCCCCTCACCTGGGCATCAGCCTCCTCATAGGGGTCCACGAACACTGTAGTGGCATCGATGCGGATCTCCTCCTAGCAGCAGAGGGGGCTCAGTGCACAGCAGGTCCTCCCCCTGCCTGCCTGGCCCCCAGCCGCCACGCCCCACCTCCCTGGGCACAGACCTTAGGGCGGTCAGTTTTGGGGTCACTCTCCACATTCTCCATGGCTGTCAGTACGTCAAAGCCCCCAACAACCCTGCAGCAGGGAGACAGAGGCGGGTCTGCATGTGCTCAAGGAGGGCACCCTCAGGGCCGGGCCCCAAGGCATGTGGGAAGAGGGGTTGAGAGCCCAGAGGCTGGCCTGGTGGTCCTCGGGCAGCAGCCAGGAAGGCGATGAGAGGGCATGGCAAGGGCGGGGTCAGCAGACCATGGCCCTGGGCATATCCAGCTGGGTTTTTTTCTGGTTCTCTTTTGGTTCCCCACCCACAGAAAAAATAGGAGTCACAAATGTGGCTTGTGCTGTCCCCACTGGTTTGGTAACAGAGTTCCACTTGGCCAGAACCACATCACCTGCATCCACCTTGTTTTGTGCTGCTGCCACACAGTTGGGTAGGCGTCAAGAGACCACGCGGCCCACAATGCTGGAAAGACCCCTGGACTAGAGGGTGAAGGGAGCTGGGCGTGGCCAGGCTTGTGAGTGGCGCGCCATCACGTCTGAGACAGGGCAGCGGCCAGGCCACGCAGGGGTGTTTCCTCCTCTCCTGAGCCCGGTGGGTCTGGAGAGCCAGACTTCCCTGGCACAGGGAGCACCCTCCGTCCCAGCTCTGCATAGCCTCAACCCCCAGCAGTGACAGCCAGCACGGCACATGGCTCAGGTCCACAGAGAAGGCAGCGAGGAGGCCTCAGATGGGGAAGGACCCCACCTAGCCCACTGACCCCCAGGCTTCACACAGCCGCTTCCCTTACCGTCCAAAGATGGTGTGCTTCTTGTCCAGGTAGGCACAGGAGCGAAATGTGATGAAGCTGGGGAGGAGGGTTGGATGGTTAGGGAGAGCATGGCACCTTCTGCATCTGGCCTGCCTGAGAGCACACCAGGAGCTGCCCACCCTCTACAGTCGGCTCTGGGAACCTGCGGCTTCCGCGGACACGTGGGTGCATGGGGCTCCCTGCTGCTGCCCACCAGGGCAGGTCATCAGCCCCCCAAGGCTGCCCAGGGAACCCCGGACCTCCAGCTGTCCCCAGGTCCTCCTGCTGCCCCGGCTGCTGCCCAGTGCCTGTCAGGGAGTCCCTGTGCCCAGAGCCAGCCTGGCCATGCAGGTCTGTGGGAGGTGGCTGGGACAAGGTGACACCTGGAAAACCAGAGCCAGGCCCGTGCCATCAAGGGACCTGTCGAAGGACTGAGGAGAAAGGAGGCAACAAAGCCAGAGCAGAAATCAAGGGATTAAGAAACGTGGGTAACATAAACATGGACAAAGAAAATGCTTAGGCCGGGCGCGGTGGCTCAAGCCTGTAATCCCAGCACTTTGGGAGGCCGAGGCGGGTGGATCACAAGGTCAGGAGATCGAGACTATCCTGGCTAACATGGTGAAACCCCATCTCTACTAAAAAATACAAAAAACTAGCCAGGCGTGGTAGCGGGCGCCTGTAGTCCCAGCTACTTGGGAGGCTGAGGCGGGAGAATGGCGTGAACCCGGGGGGCGGAGTTTGCAGTGAGCGGAGATCACGCCACTGCACTCCAGCCTGGGAGACACAGTGAGACTCCGTCTCAAAAAAAAAAAAAAAAAAAAAGAAAATGCTCAGGTTGTCCAGACACAGTGACTCACGCCTGTAATCCCAACACTTTGGCAGGCCGAGGCAGGAAGACCGCTTGAGTCCAGGAGTTGAAGAACAGCTGGGGCAATAGCGTGAACCCTGGAGGCAGAGCTTGCAGTGAGCTGAGATCGCACCACTGCACTCCAGCCTGGGTGACAGAGCGAGTCGCCGTCTTAAAAAAAAAATTTCCAGGAGGAGCTTGCCTCGGGATGGTTCTTTTACTTTCCTCGTATGTGAGTTTAATTCTGCTTCTAGTTTCCTTCACTGTGTTAGAAATCAGCCAGAGAGAACCGCTTGCAGGTCAGAGCTCAGGTCTGCCCCATTGTAGACGTGACATCTGCGGACACTTGTCTGGTGGCCTTGGGAGTGGTCAGACTCGGTGGGCTCAGGAGCATGTCCCTGCGTGGCTGGGGGGGTGCATGTTCGATGCAGCGGGGGTTAGGTCCTGTGTCTCTCACCAGCAGGGTGTGTGGGCTGTGCCTGCCTGCACCACCCTGGGGTGCTCCGTGCCACCAGTGCTGGGACCCACCCAGTATCTTCCACTGTTTTCCTTTCAGCCTCTCTGGCTCTGCCCTCTGAGGGCTTTTTGAAGGCTCACAGCTGGGGTCTGTCGCGTTCTCATTCATCCCAAAAGTCTTTTTTTTTTTTTTCCCTTTGAGACGGAGTCTCGCTGTCACCCAGGTTGCAGTGCAGTGGCGC